GAGAGAGAGAGAGAGAGAGAGAGAGAGAGAGAGGAGTTCCTGTTCCTCTGAACAGGAGGAGGAAGGGAGGGAGGATGGGAAGGAGAGAGAGAAGAAGAGGAGAAGGGGAAGGAAGGAGGGGGAGGGAGGGAGGGAGAGAGAGAGAATAGAAGGGGCAACGTGTGAATCAGTGGTGGAGGACTTTGCATAGCATGCACAAGGCCCTTAATGAAATCCCCATTACTGAAAAAATAAGACAGCAGACGGAGAGAGAGAAACACGAGTGGAGTTTCCAAATATCCTGATGGCTTATAGGCAATGACAGCTAGAGATATTATGTTAGTTCATTTAGTTTTAACAATTCTGTGAAACACACTTTATTGTAGAAGAAACCAAGCTTCAGAGAGACTGCATTAGTTGTGTACGATCAAACTCTTAGATACAAACCAGCTCTTTGGGTATGGAGAGCTTTCCTGTGTAAGGCTGGACTAGACCTTGGGGCCCAGATCTGTCTTCTTGGAAGCATCAGTTCCTTGGGTCTGGTTTTCCTTGTGTGCACAAATGAACGAGTTGATCCTCTTTTTACATTTAATTGGCTGTTTGCATGTTTTATTTGGAGAAAAGTGCACTGAAATACCTTGTCAATTTTTAATTGGATTATTTATCATTATGGACTGAGTTGTGAGGGTTGAATTCTTTATACATTTGGGATCCTGGTCCCTTATCAGTACATACTTTCTGGGTTGTTGTTTTACTGTCTTGATGTTTTAGTACAAAGGCTTTCCATTTTTAGAAAGTCTAGTTTATCTCTGTTTTCTCTTGTTTCTGCTTTTCGTGTTGTAGCTTAGAAAACAGTACATAACTCAAGGCAGTATTTACTCTCTATTTGCCTCAGGAGCTTTATAGATTTAGCTCTTTGCTCCACTTAGTTGTATGATTCATTTTGAGTTCATAGTTTCTTTACTGTTTGTTTGTTTGTTTGTTTTGGCATGGGGAACTGAACTCACAACCTTGCACTTGCCAGGAAGGTGCTGTGCTACTGAGCTATATCCCTGGTCCAGAGATCATTTATTTTATGATGTGAAATCGGGCTTCAACTGTATGTCTTATATCTTGACATCTGCCAAAGCCTCATGCACTCATAGGTGGGGTCTTATAGAGATGGCTGGCTCTAGGGCATGTGGATACGGTTAAGGGTGTGCAATAGCCACATTAGTCCATGAACTGGTTTAACATTCATAGTTTTGAGTGTGGATGGTAGGAAAGCCCACCCTGGGGGTGAGTGGCACCTTCCAATAGACTTAGTACTTAAATGGAGCAAAAGTGAAAGGGTAGCTCCGTGCCACTGCCCTCTGTTTGCCCTGCCACGGACTGTTTCTCTCTGCCATGCTGCCCAGCCATGGAGTCAGCCAGCCACGGACTGGAAACTCAACAAACTTGAGCTAAACTAAGGCTTTCCTCTCCGCCCTTAAATTTGTCCCACCAATAAGAAAGTAACCAGACATCCAGTTGTCCAACTATGTTGGATAGTTGAAGAAATGCTACAGGGCGAGAGATTTAATTTCAGGATGGGGTGGAGGACGAGCAAGAAAACGTTCGCACATTGGACAGCGGCAGTGGTTTCATAGCCCTTCATCTGTGCTAAAAATGTAAACTATATACTTCAAATGAGTGAAATGTGTGGTATCTGAATTAAACGCCAATAGAGCTGTGTGTAAAAACGAACACGTTTTGTTAGAAAGGCAAGAGGCACCTTTTAGCTCCTAGACTCTTTAGGCCTCTGCTTCCATAGTCCCAAGGTTTAGATGCTGTGGCTCCAAGCTGGATTTAGTACCAGCATGCACTTGTCTTGGTCTGTGTTCACTGTTTGAATAAAATACAGCAAGCATGTCCTACAAACAGCAGACATTTATTTCTGTACATTCTGGTGGTTTCAGAGTAAGAATTGGGTGGGGGAAGAGTGCACCAATATTTAGTGTGTAGCAATAATGCTTTTTTTTTTCCTGTTTTTAATTACATTTGTAGAGGTAATATGTAAGATTTTGTTAGTGCTCTTTTGTTTCATTACTTTATTATTTCAATTTTATAATGCTGAGACTGGTAATTAAACCAAGCTCAACAGTAGACAAGATTGCTTTAGGTGACTGTGTGGTCAAGTGCTGGAAACAACTGTTGAATCCAGGGCCTGGGATTGTCACCTAAGGTACAAGACACACACACACACACACACACACACACACACACACACGTATAAAGTTGAGCAGCACTGGGTATCCTTCTCAGTGTGCTTTTCTACTTTCTATGTGTTACCCGCCCCCCTCACAGCAATTGCTCATTAAACTCAGCCAAGAGCAGAGCATTTTAAAGTGAGGCGTTTGGCTTACCTTGCTTGGAAGTGAGGCGTACAGGCCAAAGGCGGAGGCCCACGGGAACGGGGGCTCTCTGCATGGTCTTTGTCATAATGGTTCTAAACCTCTGCATAGCCTTACTTAAAATCCTTCTGGCTTTTGGCTGAGTTTAATGAGCAATAACTGTGTGCCCGTGGGGATAACCTCTGTAGAAAACAGAAAGGCGCTCTAAGAAGGAAACCAAATGTTGGTCTGG